AAAAAAGAAAGAAGAGAAGAAAATTGATGATGATTATGATGGTGATGATGATGATTCATGGGCAACAATCTGCCCCAGGGATTGTTCAGCATTAAAATACTCCCCATAGCCATAGCCTTGCATTATGGATAATGCTTTCCTTGCTTCATACAGGAGGAAAGGGCCAGGCACTGAGGCGCACGCCTGTAATCCTAGCAACTCAGGAGATTGAGGCAGGCGGATAGTGAGTTCAAAGCCAGCCTCAGCAACTTAGCGAGACCCTATCTCTAAATTAAAAAAAAAAAAAAGGCTGGGGATGAGGCTCAGTGGCTCAGTGCCCCTGGGTTCAAACCCTGGTACCAAAAAGAAAACAAAAACAAAAAACAACTCTAATGAACTGGTAATGTCTCCCTTCTACTTCCCATCATGTGTTATGAAACGACCCACTGTGGTGGGGAATGTGGGTGACAACTGACAACTGAATTGGGAGGGATTTTGAAATGTAGCCAAGGAGTTGTGATTTTCTGGTGCCCAAGATTCCCGCAGATTGTCCATTTTGGAGTGACGTGGAAGACAGTCCTTCCTGGCTTTTCGTAAGGGTTGGGATTAAACCAGGGCTACAATATAAAATCAAAAAACTCTCCTAAAAATCCACCAACCAGATTAGTTTCTCCAAAGTCAAAGGGTCCCTGTTACAAAAAGGGACTCCTAGCACCCAATGACTGGCAAACGTGGCATGTTCACCAGAGGAGACCCACATTTTCTAAATTACAATCATGGCTCAGGGTCTGAGAAGTCCCCTAACCAATAAAGTTCACTAAAACTGAAAAGTTTAAGCCGGGTGCGGTGGTGCATGCCTGTAATCCTAGAGGCTTGGGAGGCTGAGGTAGGAGGATTGCAAGTTCAAAGCCAGCTTCAGCTCAGTTTAAGCCCCAGTACCAAAAAAAAAAAAAAAAAAAAATTGAAATCAGAACTCTCCTCAAATATAGATTTGGAGCAGAGGACATTATAATTGTCACATGAACGACATCACCCTGCTGCTGAAAATTAACAGATCTAGCAACCAACTGACAATTTACCTAGCACTGAGCTGGGGATTCTGATTGCTGCTCCTGAGAAGCATCCATTTCATCTGGGGAAATCTAACAAGGAAAAATGAAAGGACACAGTCTCTGCTTTTGGCCTCGGGGAGGAGGAAACCAGACATGAAATAACCATAACAGCACATGACAGAAGGTGCAGCTAGGAAGGCAGATCAGGATAAGTCTGGGAGGCCTTGAAAGCCATGCTAAGAAGTTTGGAATGTATCTGTTTTAAGAATTCCTAACCTGGAGGGAGATGAGAAAGTGGGTCAGGGAGTGGAATGTGAATAATGCTCTGGAGGGTTCATGATCCCCTAGAAATGTATGTCACAGTACAAAATACAAATTTTTTTTTTTTGTACCAGGGAAGGAACCCACAGATGTTTAACCACTGGCCACATCTCCAGCCTCTTTTTTATATTTTATTTAGAAACAGGGTCTCAGTTGCTTAGTGCCTTGCCATTGCTAAGGCTGGATTTGAGCTCATGATCCTCCTTCCTCAGCCTCCCAAGCCACTGGGATTACAGGCATGCGCCACTGCACCCAGCAAAAATACAGATTTTTTTTTTTCCTCTTAGAAAGACATACCCATAGTTTTCACCAGTGTTAGGAAAAAAGAAAAAGATAAAGGCCAGGCTGGTGGTGCATGCCTGTAATCCCAATGACTAGGGAGACTGAGTTCAAGGTTATCCTTAGCAATTTAGAAAACCTAAGCAACTTAGAGATCCTAAGCAACTTAGCAAGAGCCTGTCTCAAAGTTAAAAATAAAAGGGTTGGGGATGTGGCTCCGTGGTAAAGCACCCCTGTGTTCAATCCCTAGTACAAAAGAAAAATAACTTCACAAAGAGGTTGGGCTGGAGTACAGTGGCTCAACCTGTAATCCCAGCAGCTAGGCAGGCTCAGACAGGAGGATCACGAGTTCAAAGCCAGCCTCAGCAAAAGTGAGGCATTAATTAACTCAGTGAGACTCTGTCTCTAAATAAAATACAAAATAGGGCTGGGATGTGTCTCAGTGATCGAGTGCCCCTGAGTTCAATCCCCGGTACCAAAAAAAAAAGCCCCATGACCCAATGATATTTAGGAAGTATTGTCTAAGCCCTAGGGAGCCATGTACAATTTGGGGCAGAGTAACAGTTTGAGGTCTGTGTTGTAGACTTGTACTCTGATGGACTGGGGGTCAGGAGGAAATTTGTTCTGAGGATAATACAAAACCCCAAGAAGGGGCTGGGGTTGTGGCTCAGCGGCAGAGCACTCACCTCACACGTGCAAGACCCTGGGTTCAATCCTCAGCACCACATAAAAATAAATAAATAAAATAAAGGTATTGTGTTCAACTACAACTAAAAAATAAATATTAAAAAAAAAAAGAAAACCAAGAAGATGCTAAGCTGGCAGGGCAGTGGAGAGAAGAGGCTGTGTCTGAGAAGGAGAATTCTCAGGATCTAGGGCAATTCGGATGACAGTGGTAAGGGAAGGGAAAAGAAGGATTAGAATTATGCTTGTGACCCTAGAGAAAAAGGTATAAAATAAATTGTGATTTACTTTCAACCTATACCAATTCTTTTAATCGGCCTGGAGGCAGAAAAAAATAATTCAGGCGTTTTCTGAACCACAAGCTCCCCAGGCCGTTTGTCATGATTTCGTTTTAGTCTATGTCGTGTTTTGACCTGAGAGTCCAATGTGCTGTTCTCATCTTCTAAATCATGTGACTCAACATGAGAAGTTCTGTAAGACTAATGACTTGGAGAGAAAACTAGAGCTCAAGTTTACCTACCACTAAGATTGTGTTTCTTGGGGCTGAGGTTGTGGCTCAGTGGTAGAACACTTGCCTAGCACATGTGAGGCACTGGGTTCCATTCTTAGCACCACATACAAAAATAAATAAAATAAAGTTATGAAAAAAAATAAGGAAAGTTTGAGAAGCTGTTACAGCCAGAAGAACTTAAAAAAAAAAAAGATGTGTTTTTTTTGGGTCACCTTAAAGATTCCCCATCTCAACAAAGCAGGAGGACTCTCTGAGGGTTCTGTAGTGTCAACCCCTATTGCATGAGCTGTTCCAATTTTTTTTAGAATATAAGAGAGGAGGGCTGGGATTGTGGCTCAGCAGTGGAGCGCTGGCCTAGCACGTGAGAGGCCCTGGGTTCGATCCTCAGCACCACATAAAAATAAAATCAATAAAATAAAGATGATATTGTATCCAACTAAACAATAAAAATTTAAAGAAAGAAGAATATAAGAAAAGATAAACACGATGACTAAGTTTCTAGCCTTCGCAACTGTGTTATACCTTTTCTCCCCGCTGGGTGCTGGGACTCAAATTTGGGGCCTTGTTCATGCTCTGCCACTGAGCTATATCCTCAATCCCACATGTTAAACTTTTTACTGTGAAACAGAACTTCAGAAGAGAAGCAGGTTTGTGGGAAAGGGGACATTAAGAATGAAATGGAGAGCCTGGGGTTGTGGTTCAATGGTAGGAGGCTGGCCTAGCATGTGTGAGGCACTGGGTTCAATTCTCAGCATGACATATAACTAAATGAGTAAAATAAAGGTCCATCAGCAACTAAAATTTAAAAATATATATATTTTTAAAAAAGAAAGAATGAAACGGGGCTTGGGTAAATTGAATCCAAGTATCCAGAGACATTTTCTCAGTCGGGAATATTTTGGTTATGGGTGACAGATGTCAAATGAAATTGATAAAAGAAAAACAATGACGGTCTTGGATTACTTAACCCAAACCCAGAGAGGTTTAGCTCTATCAGGTGATGTTAATTTTATTTTTCCTTCTTTTTTTCGGTACTGAGCATTGAACCCGGGATGCTTTACCACTGAGAAAACACCTGGTCTTTTTCTTTTCTTTTCTTTTCTGTTTTTGAGACAGGGACTCTTTTAAGTTGTTGAGGCTGACTTTGAACTTGTGATCCTCCTACCTCAGCCTCTCAAATTGCTGGGATTACAGGTGTGCACCACCACACCTGGCCAGACTCTCAAATGCTGCTGTCAGGCATCTCTTTCTGTCCATCTCTTACCTCGGCTTTCCTCTACTAATGCTGTCATTTTGGGCAGATCTCCCACGTGGCAGCAGTATGGTCCCCAGCAGTTTCCAGCTTCCCTTCTTCCATCAGAATAACAACCCAAAGCCCTGCTTTCTCAAAGGCTCCAGCGAACATCTCAAGCCAACTTGTGACTGACCCTGGATACACATTCTTGAATCAATTAATCCCTTCTAGTTAAGTTTTGGGTGGTTGACAGCCTTTAAGAAATCGTAGCACGCGTGCTTGTGTGTGTGCGTGTGTGTGTGTGTGTGTGTTCACATCCCCCTGCCACACCATGATCCCACCTCCTGGGATCAGAACCTTGGGTAATCCTAATCCCCTCCTCTTGAGTAATTTATTTCTAACCAGTGGCCTATGGCAAAGTTGAAGGGTTGTTACTCCCTTGATTATGTTGCCAAAGGTTGTGTCTTCCATCTTGTTAGCCGGCTCTTTCTTGTTGGCTTTGGTGTGGCAAGTGTCCATGTTGGAGACCCCAAATGCAAAGAATTTCAGCCAGCAACCACCAGAAAATTGAGGCTTAGTCCAACAGCCCTTGAGGAACTGAATCTTGCCAACAATTTTGAAAGTGATCTTAGAAACAGATCCTTCTTCCACCGAACCCCAGCCTTGGATGACATTTGAGTGCAGTCTCATGAGAAACCATGACCAGAGGACCCAGCTAAGCCTCGCCCAGATTTCAGAGCCACAGAAACTGTTGTTTCCTGTGTTGTTTTTAAAGCCACTAAGCTTTTGGACTAATTTGTTCCATAGCAATAGACAACTAATACATTTCAGTTGAGTAACTGCCCCTGCAGGGGCAGTTGAGGCCAGTCTCATGTGAACCATGTGGACTGAAAGTAGAGAATAGGTATCTTCCCAAAGAAAAAATTAAGGGGAGGGGGGCTGTGGTTGTGGCTCAGTGGTAGAGCGCTCGCCTAGCATGTGCGGGGCCCTGGGTTCAATCCTCAGCACCACATAAAAATAAATAAATAAAAGGTATTGTGTCCAACTACAACTAAAAAAATAAATATTTAAAAAAGAAAAGAAAAGAAAAAAATAAGGGGTAATTACTAAAAGTGGGATGAAATCTAGTCATACAAATCAGCAGCTGTTCCCCTCATGCATCTGTTTGGGAATGTGAGGAGGCAGCTGGAAATACGTGGGGAGACAGATTTGGCAGTGATTCATGCATAAGCTTTAGCTGAAACCGTAAGAAGGGATGAAATTGCCCCCAAAGAGAGAAAGGTCAAAGCAGATCCCCCAGGAACAGGAGCAATTAAAGGGCAGATGGAAGAAGAGACAAAGGGGAATAGGTGAGGGCAGAGGTGTAGGATGACAGGTGTTTGATGTGGAACCAACTTGGCCTGTTTGACTGGTAAGAAATACATCTAAGGAGTCACAGCCTTCTGTTAGAAATCTGGACTTTTCCTTCAGAAGTTGTACATTAGGTGCCATTAAGACAGAAAGGACTGTCAAAATCAGGTATGTGGATGATTTTGTGCAGTGAGAGAGGGCAGAAGGAGAAGCCTGAAGACATTTCCTTGCAGAATCTCTATATTTAGGCAGCAAGGGAAGGAAGAGGACCCACTGGAAGGGAGCTGAGAAAGAGTCGTTGGAGAGAGATGAGGCAATCGGGAAAACACCCAGAAGCCAGGGACATTTCAAGACCCATATAGTCAATAACGGCAAATGCTAAAGAGCTATGTGATAAGAATTGGGAAGAGAATGGGGACCCAAGATGAGGAGGTCCTGGATGGGCAAAGGTGAGTGGGGGAGGGGAGGGGACAGGGACAGGAAAGATGGTGGAATGAGATGGACATCATTACTCTAGATAGATGTATGATCGCATGAATGGAGTGACCCTACTTTGTGTACAACCAGAAAAATGACCAATTGTGCTCCATTTGTGTACAATGAATCGAAACGCATTCTGCTGTCATGTATAACTGATTAGAACTAATAAACAAACAAATAAATAAAACTACAACTATTAAAAGAAAAAAAAATGCGTGGGCAAGTGAGCTAGCCAGACACAGAAAGAAAAAAAGACTACATGTTCTCTTTCATATGTGGAAGCTAAAAAGTTTGACCCCAAGGTAGATGAAGTAGATTAGTGATTACTGGACACTAGGAAGGGCAGAGGTAAAGGGAGTATAGGGAGTGAGATAACATGCACCCAAACAAAGTTAAATAGGAGCAATAAATTCTAGTATTCTACAGTACAGTAATGTAAGTGACTATAGTTTATAAATAACTATTGTACCATTTTTGTAGGGAGTACTGGGGATTGAACCAGGTATGCATTACCATTGAACTATATCCCCAGCCTTTTTAATTTTTAAATTTTGAGATAGGATCCTGATAAGGGGCTTAGAGCCTCCCTCAGTTGCTGAGGCTGGCCTCAAACTTGCCATTCTCCTGCCTCAGCCTCCAAGTCACTGAGATTATAGGCATGTGCCCCTGCACCAGGCTATAAATGTCTATTATAGAAGACATTAGCACAAAGCCTTCAAACATAAAGAACTGATAAGAAGCTGGAAATGCTAACGATCCTGATTATTATACATCATATGCATGTACTAAATAGTACATCGTACCTAATGAGTAGGTACAATCACTATGTGTTAATTAAAAATGAAAATAAAAGATAAACAGGTGGGACATGAGAGAGAGACGTAGAGAGCAGATTATCCTCATGGGCAGTTTCATGACATGATGAAGGAGGATTTGGGCATATGCACTGGCTGAGGTGAAAGGTCTGGGCTGTGTCCTTCCACTCCTGTCGCAGAGTCATTGCAGTTGAGTTCTGCTATGTCCTTCTGAGATAACAGGATCTAAAACTGCCCACAAACTATGTGTTGGCAAACTGTTGTAAAGAGCAGGGTGTAGCTGGGCCCTGTGGCGTCCTCCTGTAATCCCAGTGGCTCTGGAGGCTGAGGCAGGAGGATCATAAGTTCAAAGTCATCCTTTGCAATTTAGTGAGGTCCTGTCTCAAATTAAAAATAGCTGGAGATTAGCTCAGTGGTAAAGTTCATCTCTGGTACACACACACACACACACACACACCAAAAAAGAGCCCCTGAGTTCAATGTCTAATACCAAAAAAAAAAAAAAGAGCCAGAGTATAAACATAGAGCAGATTTTGCCAGACACCCAACTCTGTTATTGCAGGGGCTGAAGAAAGTAGCCATAGACAATTTGTAAACAAGTGAGTACAGCTGTGCTCCAGTGAACTTTATGTACCAAAAAACAGGCACAGGCAGGATTTCACCCCTGGGCTATCATTTACTGACCCTTGCCCTAAGCTCCTGGAAAGGGACTGAAGAGGCAATAACAGGGACAACTGATGAAACAAGGGTAGAATCAAGGCCTCAGGGAAAGGAATATATGCTGCAGAAAGAAGGTCCTTGCATCTTTTCAGACACCTGTTGCAGAGTGACTCCTCTTTATATGCAGTGCCTGGTGGTCCCCACCTGTGAGCACCTCAGGCCAACAATATTCCCCAGCAATGATTCCAGAGCCTTCTATACAGGCAGTGCCAGACACATAAGCCTTCAAGAGAAGTAGGGCAGTAAAGATGAAGAGGGACCTTATTGCCGGGCCTGGTGGCGCACAAATGTAATCCCAGTGGCTCTGGAGGCCGAGGCAGGAGGATTGCGAGTTCAAAGCCAATCTTAGCAAAAGTGAGGCGCTGAACAACTCAGTGAGACTCTGTCTCTAAGTAAAATACAAAATAGGCCTGGGGATGTGGCTCAGTGCCCCTGAATTCAATCTCCGGTTCTTCCCACCCCCACAAAAGAGGGACCTTAATTGTGGAAGGAGGGGAAATTGAAGAGGCTCACGTGGAAAATTTTCTATCAGTGAATCAGGAGCCATGTTATTAGCAAGCAAGTCACCTCCACGGATGTTTAAGCAAGGAGTCTCTGTAGGCAACTCTTTCTTCTACATTTCAGATTCAGTCCTTCTAAGGCAGAGGATTTGGGCAGATAGTACAGCTGTCTCATGTTTGGAGCTCTCTGGGGTGGCAGGACCCACATCTGCATAGCACCATGGAGATAGGGAGAAAGGCAAAGGGGGTCCTGGGGAGAGAAGGTTACTGCAAAGCCTAGGCACATTCTGAAAATCCCAAAGGAGGAAAGAACATGGGAGGTGGGGTAGGATGGCTGAGAGCCAAGTAGTTCCTAGGTACATTTTTTTTTAAAAATACTCCTGGAACAGGTTGGACCATGTTTAGCTGTTCTTGATCTCTAGTTTTTACTTGTTCCTGAGAAGAGACAGGGCTCAGTAGGGTTTTGGAGGCTTGTGAGTGAAAAGAAAGCTCCTCCATGCAGCTCATACTGGGCACTGAGAATCCAGGTCCAGGAGACTGAGCGAAGCAGGACCAATTGGAATCTATCCTCTGATGGGGAGCTGGACCCACACTACCTGGGAAGGGTGTTTGTGGTTCACAGATGCACGTAGAAGCAGCAGGAGAGCTGAGGGTGGAGGCACCGGGTCAGCTGGATAAATAGGTGGAAGGTGTCTCTTGGTGAGAAAAAGGGTAAAGAGTACATATCTTTTGAGTAAAGGCTGGAAGGATGAGTTCAAGACCCCATGATCTGTCCCAGCCTGCCTTTCCATTCCCTTTATTCCCCTTCATGCATCCTAGGTTCCTGCTGAATTTCCAACCACCTTGAATACATCACACCATTTTTCTACTCTCAGCCTTTATGTTGTTCTCTCTCTTTGGCATGCCATTGTCCTCCTTGCAATCATCTATTTGTGTCTATATACTTTCCGTTTCTCAAGTCTCAGGTGCTGCTACCTTCAGGAGCCTTTTTTTTTTTTTTTTTGGATTCTGCCCTTTATTGGAAGCAATCCTTTCCTCTTCTGAAGTCCTCATCTGTATGTCATCAGAGAAGTCATTTAGCAGTTTCATCTAGTAGTAAGTAAGCATTGAAGACAGAAACCATTTCCCAGGCAGCTCTGTGTCTTATCTTCACCCACAGCATATTATCCAGGCAGAAACCCTCTAGAAACAGGGATTAGACAAATACTTCTGTACAAAGTTCAGGTTGGTGCAGCCATCCACTTTACCACAGCCCTGTGGTAGTTCTCCCTTTGCTAGATTATGGTCCTGTATGCTCCCGCCCAAGCCTGTGGTTACCAGAATCCTGGACTCCCGGACTCCTTCTCTTCCAGAAGCTCCAGCTGATTCCATTTCCTGGTCAGTCCAAGGATGAACGAACCCAGAGTCATTCTTCTTCTGCTCCTCAGCTTCCTCTCCTCATGATGAGGGATACCACAAGGGAGATCTTTCAATCACATTGATCTAGGGACTAGGTTCTGGGTTGCCTGTATTCTTGTAACTCTGGCAAATTCTGTCCCTCTGGTGTTTTAGATACTAGTTGGAGGGCCCCTGTGTCTGTTTTAGTCAGCCTTTTTTTGTCGCTGTGACCAAAAGATCTGACAAGAACAATGTAGAGGAGGAAAAGTTTATTTTGGCACAAGGTTTCAGAGTTTCAGTCTATGGTTGGCTGACTCTATAGCTCTGGGCCTGTGATGAGCAGAATGTCATGGCATAAGGGCATGTAGGAAAGCAGAGTGCAGGAAAGCAGCTCAGGACATGAAAGCCAGGAAGCAGGGAGAAAGCTCTGCACACCAAGGACAAAACATAAACCCCAAAGGTACACCCCCTGTGACCTACTTCCTCCAGACACACCCTACCTGACTACAGTTTCTTCCCAATTAATCCATACCAGTGGATTAATCCACTGACTAGGTTTTATAGCTCATAATATAATCATTTCACTTCTGAAAATTCTTGCATTGTCTCACACATGAGCTTTTGGTGGATACCTCATATCTAAACCTTACCAGTGGCCCTCTCAGGAACTGGTTATCTTTTAGTATTAGCCATACTGGTTGATTTCATTCCTGGCTCCCATTTGGTTTGAGTCAGAAAAGCACATTTATTGAATGAACTTAACGATGTACA